TATATATATATATATATCACAGAACTATAATAAACATCCAACTTAATTCAACCAAGGAAACCTGCAAATTTCCTCAGACTATATAACACATGCATTCTGATGCAAAACACATATAAGTTAAGGCTGAAAGGATTTAAATAATAGCAGTAATTGCCTATTACACTTACTCCATCTTAGTATTTGGTCTTTCTAAATGTGTCACTGATGCTACTAGGTTGAGGCTCAGTGTGTCACAGAATGCTTTCCACACACACTAACATGATGAAAAGGATAAGTAACAGTCAGAGTCAGACAGGGTGTGATGGACAATTTCACTTTCCAGATACTATTTTAAGGGATAATGTATATTTTCAGTCCCTCTAAGCCTTTTGGTCCTGAAGTGTTTGTGACAGGTTTCCTTACCTCCTGAGAGAAACCTTGCTCGATCCAAATCTTTCTTCTATTCCTATCCTAATTTCCATTTGGCATTATTTAACCCAATGTCTATTTTATCCAGGAAATGATATCTCCTAAATACTGTATATAGTTACTATTTATACAATAAATAGTCCTGTGTTTCCCAAATGTAACAAAATATTTACCCCTCTGTAAATACCAGTGTTTATCCAGCAACCCCTGTGGGAGTAACTTTATGTCAAGTTCCCTAGACATGGGTAGATTTATTGCCAGGACTACCTAATAGGGTATGCATGTTTTCCAATATTGGAATACATGAAATAGTATATGATTTGTTAAAATGTTACTTTATTCTAATATGCAGAAGTAGATGATGAACCTGTAAAGCCCCTTTCACGTGAGCGGTCTGATCAGGTCTGCCAGTCAGTTTTCCAAGCGGACTCGATCAGATACCCATGGCTCCCTTTACAACCGGTTACCTCCAACACCAGCAAAGTCCAGAAAAACAAAGAAAACAGAGTTATGTTTCACCAGACCTGATTGTGCCGAATCGGGGGTAATCTGATATAAACATACAAATGTTCATTTACATCCGATTCCCCATAGACTGACATGGGGTTCCTTAAGATGGAGGAAAAAAAAAGGATGGAAAAAAGCAGTGACATCCAATCCATACTGCTCTCATCAGGAGGGGATCCATGCATGATCAGCCCATGAGAAAGAGGCCTTAGCAACACACATTGGGTACAGGGAAGCTTAGGTTGAATGGCTCTTGGTAATCTTAAAAAATATTGAGCGTGTGAACTTTCCATTACTTTAAATCCCATATAAAGTATTTATTATTATTATAATGCAGGATTTATAGAGGGCCAACAGTTTGCACAGCACTTTACAACATTTGAGAAGACAGTACAATTACAATAAAATACAAAAGGATCAGAAGGACCCCTTTAAAGTTGAAAAATAAAATATTCTATACATGAGGCTGTCATTCTATGCCATTGACACAGCAGTTTTTTTTTAGAATTCTCTCTGTAACAGTTTACTATCTGTTGTTTCCTTAACTGCTAAAAAAATGCCAGCTGGAGGTGGATTTTTTTTTTATACTATCTAAATTCTGTTTAGACCTACATGTCCATCTAAGACAATGGGGTTTTTGTTAAAGCTGCTGTGTTAATTTTAGTGACAGACTGCATTATTATGTCTTTTTTTATTTTGCCCATAGTTGCACTTTAAAGTGTATCTAAACCCAAAAACATTTTTTATATATATATACACAGGTGGAACTCGAATAATTAGAATATCGTGCAAAGTTCATTTATTTCACTAATGCAACTTATGCGGTGAAACTAATATATGAGAGAGACTCATTACATGCAAAGCAAGATAATTCAAGCCGTGATTTGTCATAATTGTGATGATTATGGCTTACAGCTCATGAAGAACCACAAATCCACAACCTCAAAAAAGTAGATTATTACATGCAATCAATAAAACAAGGATTGTGCATAGAACAATATCGGACCTCTGAAAAGTACAAGCATGCATATATACTCAGTACTTGGTTTGGGCCCCTTTTGCAGCACTTACTGCAATTACTTTTGCACGATATTCTAATTATTCGAGTTTCACCTGTATATATATATTTGCAGCTTACCTGTCCATAGGTGCAGTGACTGCATACGTTTACTTTTTTTAAGCTTTTTTTTTCATGGCTCACGGCAAAAGGCTACATTGGCTATGTCTGTGCGTAGGATTATGTTGGCTAATACACATGAGTGTAACTAAGTGTGCACTGGCCTATTTTAACGTGAACACCGCTGAGGAGAGTTGCTGAGTGGTCATCAGCTCCTGCCACCTGTGACCTGACCTGTGTTTCCTTCCTGTGTTTTGACCTGGCTTGCCTCAATCTTCTGTAATGATTCCTGCATACTGACCTCGGCTTGTACCCTGGAAACACTCTCTGTTTAGCATCTTTGTACCTGTGCTGCCATGCTGCGTCTGACCCCAGCTTGTCTTCTGACCTCGCTGATTCTCTGACATCCCAGTATCCTGGCTGCCTAGCTATTGCTGATCCTGGTTTTCGGTACTCTTCACTTTCCAGATAGAACAAAAGAAAGGGAAAATTAAGAAGCACCACGACCGGGTGGAGAAATGGTTGTGGTCCAATCAATGGAACCTGGTTAGCTGTTGGAGTGGTCAGACCGACCCGAAGGTGACGTGGAGGCAAGCAGGTGTAGACCTTCTCAGTTTGGGTGGTTGGGGATTAGCGGGGACACAAAAGAGAACGGTGGAGAGTTGAGAAATCACATATAGGATAGGATCAAGGTGTGGAGTGTGCAGACTCATCGTTAGGTAAGGATGTATGCGATGTCATGTTCACTTTCCAGATAGACTGGTGACTGCTTGCTATAACCGGACCAGCTGTAGGCACCCGTGCCACGCCATGTCCTGCATACTCTGTCCCAAATCCACATTATGTTTCAGGATTTATTAAGTACAGCTTTAATAAGAAGGGGCCAGAACTGTCAGTTGTACCTTATCCAATAGGCCATAAGGTCTGTTCTGATTAGCATATGGAGAGTGATGGCAACTGACCAACTGGCTCATGGGCCTTTAGCCTGCTTTGACATAAAGGCAGTTACAGTTTAGATCTGCATCCACCTGTATTCAATATGTGATACATTTACCTTCATTAACTTTGAAAAATCACATTGTAAATAATACCCAAGCATATGCAAAGAAGATAATAAACAAAACAGGATTTTTGTTTGCACATGATTGGATGATTGAAGTAAGCACAGCATTATCTCATTCACTAAGTTAAGTAAATGTTCACTTTGCTTTAGTAAATTAACCCCAATGTGTCAATTGGGTAAGTTTAAAGCAACAGCTATTATCTCTTATGGACTCTTAAAATAGAACCAATGTCCCCTCCTGTGATGGAATGGTAATGATGGTGCACTGCTCATGAATTCAGAGCACAGTTGCCGCTCTTATGTAGGCGGTGTGCTTACACTACAGTGGTATACAAAATGTTACTAGAAGTGTAGCTTTCAGCTATGCCACTGCTGCTAAACAAGCTTGTCATTCAGCACCTGGCCTTACATAGTCCTGCGCAATGCTTTCTGGATTGACAGCACTGCCTCTTTTGCTGAAACGCTTACAATGTGAGCTGGGATGAGGCATGGGTGAGACATAAATGAAGGAGGATTTGTCTTAGTCAGGAAAGGTAAAGGAAGATTCATGTTTATGTGCATAACACAGTTATTTGGTGTTTGATTAGATTGTCATACAGGAACCTTTACCTGGAGTCCAAACAGATATAAAGGATCCGCATTAACACAGCTCTGTTTTCTTTAGCAAACCATTAAATATATTTTTTAAATATATCAAATCTATAAAGCTGGAGTGCTGCCAATAAGCAATTTAAATGATCTAATTGTTTCTGACCACCTACTTTAGGATTATTCAGATTCACTGGCCCATACATTTGTTACCTGCTTCCACCATTGAACCATTATGATGCATGCTGCTCAAGAAGCTCATATTAGTTCCAGAGAGTAGAGGTTTTTTTTTTGTTTCTGCTTCAGATATGAGATGCTGTGGAGGAAGTGTGGCCATACAAAGGTTCTCAATTTTTTTAACTAGCCTTGGAGATCCTATAAACAGGATTTCAAACAGTCTATGTGGGTAACTGTTATTGCACTACAAAGACCCTCTTACAATGCTTTATCTGCTATTGGATTCTCTTCCATAGATAGACTCCATGCAGGACAGGCTTTCCCCTCGGGTATTGTAATGGGAGGACACAGCTGGGATGGATGCCGCCTCGCTTCTGTGTCATCTCCTACACCCTACAGGTCCAGACTATCACACTGGCATTTTTCCCTTGTGTTTCAATGCACCTTGTCCTAGCACTGCGTATACTCATAACATTGCAACACTGATGTTTGTTAGAAAGGCTGGTGTGCATGAGAGTATTTCTGATCTGATGAGAAAGTCTCTAAAAATGTTGGTTTTATAAAATAATAACATTTGACAGTTAATTAAGACTATATACATCCCAGTCAATAAATACATTGTATTAGGGTCAGAAAGCTTTCTTTAGAAAATGTGTCAGGTAAGGAAAATTGTGGAACTAACTTTATCTAAATCTAAAAATAATAAACTTTACCTTTAACACTAAATGCATAATTCTAACCAATTCGTTTTTATTTAAGAAACATTATTTTAAAGAACAAAGATATAAAAACGAAAAGCTTTTGAGACAACTTCTACAGTTACCTGCTTGCACTAACAAGGCATAGCACTTTATAATAGTCATATCATGACATCTAGTGGTTATTCATTAAAATTACAACTACAACACTTTTGCCTCAAACAGGAAAAATCAAGGAGACAACATAATTTTTTAAAATAATTTATTGTCAGTAAGAAAGACCGGCTAATGGTAGTTTTCAGTAAAAACCTTTACAAGACCATTGCATCACAAATATACAGACACCATAAAAACCGTGTCGTGGTGATTTTGGTTCTAAACGGGTATGCAGTGGGTCCCCAATACACTTTCCAAGTAGGGAAAATATTCCAAAATACAGATTGTTTTGTGAAGACATCTTCATTTTGATCTAAACAGGATCAGGCTTAGCCTCAAATATATTCAGTCGTTGCTGCAGTTATACCTGGAAACTGTTCAATTTCAGAAGTCAAAAACCTCAGTGGAATATAGAGATACAGCAAAGCCCAGGTTATAGAAACAATCTACTGACTAATATAGGGCAAATCTTGAAATAACTCATGTTCCAAAGGAAATAAATCCACAAAATATCTACAAAAATCTAGTTAATGCTATTGAAATCAAAACTGTACATTACATTTACAAGTGGAAAAAAGTTAAAATAATATTTCGTACTTTATAAATACACATGTCATGCTACCATGATGTAGTGGTATTTCTCTCAAAAATAAAAACATATGGTTAAGAAAAAATAAAATAGAAATCTAAAAAAGTGAAGTGGAAGTAGCCTATCCAAATGGTTTATTTGTCTTCATTCTTGCAGATCCAGAAATTAAATACATCGTACACACTCGTATACACGGCATGGTGTATTGCAACTATGCCAGATAGATGTTCACCAAATCAACAAAAATAAAAAAAAAGGAAAACAATAATGCTAAAGAAACAACAAAACAAAAATATAATGAGAAGATATGAGTTCGCTATGAAATGTTGAAGCTAACAAATGTCCAGGCACTTTTGATGCTGTTAAACTTCGGTGTGATGCTGGGAATCCAGGGAAGGAATTGTCACGTCTTCAAAGTGGCCATCATCGCCGCTCTCATAGTCACTAATCATGGCCTCTGATTCCATTTCACAGCACGCAGACACGTCAGTGCATGAAGCTGCAGAGGTGTATCCAGACATGGACATGTTGTCCACCATGGGGACTTGGAAGTCTCTGTTGTACCCTATTATGTAAGATGTAGAATAAGGCTCTCTGTAACTATTGCTATCTCCACTGGTTGTGTTTTGAGGTTCTGACATACTCGCTGGATATTGGTGATGTGGAAGGTACTTATTCGGGTTGAATCTCTGATTACTTTTTGTTGAGGAACCCAAGCTGCCTACAGTAGACATTTCTCTGAGTGGCTGCATGGAATCTGCCTGTTCACTATACTCATGAGGGAGTGGAGGAAGCTCATCTGGCAAAGGAAAGTCTTCTGGTGGAGGTGGAAAGTCATTTTCTATGTCATAACCTCCAGGATAATAATCTGTATCGAGGACATTAGGGTCTGTGTAATGAGAAGCAGGTTTGTCAACAACTTCATAATGAGGGTATTCCTTAATATCCGGCAGTTGGACACTAGGCATCCAGTCTGAAGTATCCCAGTGGTAGCCTTTTTAAAAACAAGTAAAAAAGGAAAATAATGTTAATTAACATAAGGTCAATCATAAAAAACTTAACTGGGTAATTTACAGTGCAAATCTTACAAGTTAGGGCACACAAACACTTGGTTATTGCTTTGAGACACTTCATGCAAAGCTTTATTACACAGCTAATTTAATTACCTTTAATCTTGATCATTTTATTATGGTTTTCAATTAATGTTGGCTGGCTAGCAGAGCGGTTGCTAAGATGGCCCTAGTCTCTCATAGCCCTGTGCACAGCACATTCTCTGTTAAAGAACACCAGGCAAATAAAATCTTCATCCTTGCAGTGGGGCTACCCTTGCACAGCAAGGATTAAGTGCTTGTTTTGCCTAGGGAACTAAAATAACAGAGATATACTGTACTTACCTGAACCACAATCCCGGCTGGCTCCTAGACCTGTCCCTCCAGCCTGTCGCCTCTGCTGCTCCAGTGTTGGAATGTCACTCGGCATCCTGACGTTCCATACAGTGTATGTTCGTAATGCAGGAATCAGTAAACGACCATACCTGATCATCACATAATACCAAAACTGCCTAATTAAGCTGGATGGTAACAGAGCTCTGCCAATCAGTACTACTCTACCAAGGACAGGACTGGGTTAGAGGCTGGAACAGCTCAGCTGAGCTGAGTAAAAGGCATTGCTAAAAAATGGTGTTTAAAGACTAGAATGCTGGGAGGCATGGATGTGTGAATGAAGGTAGCTAAAACACAATGTACGTTTATAGCATTTTAGGCCTGTTCTAGATACAAGATCTGGACAGAAGAAACCAAAACCCTCCTAAAACAGATCAGGGGAGGAATAGAAGGCCATTGTAAATGTTTGCAAATGATTTGTTCCACTGGTTGTTATATATATACTGAATCTGTAGATTTTTCTGAACTACATACAATGTTACATTAATGCCCTAGTTTATTGATATCCCTACAAGCTTATATTTTTTCACTCAATATAAAACCATTTAACCATTGGGTCAAAACAAATTTAAAAAAATACGCAAAACGTTTCAAAATTAAGCAGCACAATGTGTAGGAAACAAAGAACCACAAATACAAAAACTGCAGGTGAAGGTTAAAAAATGCAAAAACAAAATGCAAAAAAGCAGCACTATTAGTATCAAATACACAACATGCAGAAGTCACCTCTTGAATTCCTGACTTCAGGAACTGCAAATGACTCTTTGAAGGCAAAATTAAAAAGAATGAAAAACAGATTATATTAGAAGTAATTACACAAAATGACATACCTATCTTGTATGTACATACGTGCCCAAACAAGCTCATACAATTTACTAGCTGAAACTCAAGATAAAACAGAAACAGAAATTCACATCCACATCAATTAGCAAAAAAGTGAGCCTACCACCATTTTACCACAATTTTGTGATGGCGGTTAGCTTTGACTTTCATTGCAATAAAGATTTAAGGTTTCAAATGAGCTGCTATAATCTATACCACAAAACAGGATATAAACAGAACTTTTGATGAACATAATAACTGCATGAGTAAAAGTGAAAGGATCCCTGCAAGTATTGATCAATGAACCAAACTAACTTGCGCTAACGGAAATAGTAAAACTAAATTAAGATGGATTAAAATTTAAAATAATGCCTTTTATGACACCTGCTGACACATTTTATAACGTGCTATAAGTTTTTACACAAATATTTATTATATATACACTGTTTCACGATTGCTTGACACGGAAGTGACACCATATGATCCCTACCGTTATCTAATTTCCTGAAGGGCATTTAGCGCTGTACACTTCATTACACAAGTATTGATCAATGCAGCTGACATCTCTAAGGCACATATTTATAACAGAGAGAAGAAAGCACTATACACTCTCCTTTATACTCCTCCTGGCTATTCTCACTGTGGCTCACATTTTATGGTCCACTAATAAAATGCAGGCCAGCAGTGCCCTACCAAGTTGTCTCTGCTTACTGCAGCACACAGACTCTATGATTGGAGAAGCTGGTCGGGTTACTTTTACCAGCTTTTGTTTTTTCTGACTACATTCATTCATGTGTATTGCGACTTGTCAGCTTCAGAATTCCAAATGCAGAGGAGCACAAAGCACATTTGTAAAGCAAGCCACTCTGCTTGATAAAGATGCATTCTTTTAAAGCAGTAGCATGGCCCCAAAGTGAGACTGGTGCACTTGCATATTGCTGAGAAGGGCCCTGCTGGGCAGATGGTATATACAGTAAATCCCTCATTATCTGGCATTCAAGCAACCAGCACTCTCAAGCAACCGGCAAAAAAAAAATTGAGGACATAATACGTGCTGGATTTTAATTTTTTGCCGGTTGCTTGGTGCACACTAAAATTTTTTGTTGGCAACTAAATGTATTTACTGGCTAATTAAATTCTTTGTTTACATCTTGCTGCTGGCCAGCGGCTATATTCTGCGGTCGGCAGCAGAATGTAAACAATGGGGAGAAATAGCCAGCCTGCTATTGGCTATTTCAAATTGCAATAACCAACAGCAGGCTGGCTATTGTTCACACCTACTGAGCAGAGGAGCGGACCTGAGAGAGGACTTTCTCTATCAGAGCCACTCCTCTGCTCAGTGGACAGAACTTCAATAGCCAGTCTGCTATTGCAATTTGAAATAGCAGTCTAGCAATTGCTCACGGCTGCTTACATACACCTGTTGGCTGCAGAAGCTAGCCGGCAGGTAAATGGTGCTACAGGGGCTTATCGGTCACCACAGGGTGGTGGCTGCTTGAGAGTTACTATTAACTCTCAAGTAACCAGAAACCACAGTTATCCAGCACCTACCGATCCCCATAGGTGCAGGATAACTGGGAGTTTACTGTACACAAAAATTACTTTGCCTGAGTATATACAGTGCTAGAGGGTCTACAACTAGCGGGTCTATCTAAGTAAAGTGGATGTGCACTGTGATTATAATGTTCACTTATGTTAGTTTTGTGAAGATGTATAAATAGGAGAAGGCTGGAATGTTAAAAAAAAAAAAAAATGCTGCTCTAAGAAAATACTCATATCGAGGAAATCCTGTATAGTGCTTGTCACATGATCAAATTTCTAGGTATTTGCTGAACCCAAAGATCAGCCAATCTGCACTCTGATCCCTATCTTTGGTAAAGATTACCCAACTAAATGCCTTGGCTTATGGTATTAGGACCAACACTAAAGGGAGCCTAAAGCAGCATTTTCACCAGCATGGGTAGTCATTTCATAGTCATTGGCCTCTATTCTTTATATATAACAAGACTATTTGTTCTTCATCTCTCCACTATATTATTTAATAACCAGATGAGACAGAAACTTGAAAAGAGGTCAATGATCTCATTGCAATTGGCTACAATGGATATTAGTAAAATGTGTGCTAGAAAGAGTGAGATGAAATTATTTAATTTGATCAAGTATTAGATTATTTTACTTTATTATCTGACCAGAAAGCCATCTAATGGCCTTGCCCATTAAATAGATAAAAATGCATAGTGATCAGTGACTTCTGTTCAACACTCAATTTCACATTTGTTTCCGAACCAAAAACATAACGGAAAACAAAATTGCTATGCTTATCTATATGCTAAGAACACCTTGTAATATAGGAATGCATACATATGCATTATACCAGTACAAACACAACACTAGAATGTCAAATTTGTTTACAAAATCACATTTATGACATTGATGACTGCCTTTCACTGCATCATATGCCATGAAAGGGCCAGTTGAATAACTAATTGTAACCCAAAACCTGCAACTTTAAATGAGCTTTTGTCTGGGAGGTTAATTCTTTCGCAATGGTGTTTCCAGTGTGCCTGACAGCTCGGGATTCCCATCAATTTATTTTATTAGTTGAATCCAAATATATCTGTACATCTGTTTCTAGATTCTTTGAGTACACTTTCCATTTGTGTTGATTTTGTTATGAATTGCCCTGCGAGGTATAAGTGCAGCAGATTTGTGCGCACTGTAAAAATGTCAGGTGACCCCTCTGTGACAAACGGCCCAAGCAGATTCACCTACAGTACCATTTGCTATGACAGGCAGATGCAATGAAAGTGCATTCATGTGAATATCTACCAATTATATGTAGTCTAATGAAGCACTTAGATCAAACTGAAGACAGCCAGGGACTAGAAAACAACACACGATGCAGATGTAACAGAATGTTATCACATGAATAAACCGGTATCATTTTTCAGACATGCACACTTATATGATTAATAAGCTGCGAATATGAGCACAGCAATTACATTACATACACATATATACCTTCTTTTTCCACCGAGTCAACAACAGCATTGACTAGGTGTATTACTGTCACAATGGAAGCTTGTAAAAGGTAAGAGAAAAACACATTAAAATAAGCCTAGAGCATGACATCTACACACACAAAGTCCAATCATTACCTGTAGTCACAGGGTACGTTTTATATACTGTACTATATAATGCTACATTCTGCTGTACTACCGGAGCAGACTAATTAAAGAACTATTCAGGGACTAGTCGTGCACAGAGGAGGGGCTTAGCGGGAACTTTTAGATGACAATCTAGTTTCCCACCACTGCTCTACTGTAAAGAAACAAATAAGACAGAAGTTAAAGTATATCTCAAGCAACATTTTTTATATTTGGATCAAGTGGGGAAGGGCTACCAGCCCTGTTAAATTTTTCGTGCTCAAAGTAGAAGCAGAAGTAGTCCAAAGTGCCTTTAAGTGCCTTTAACTGAAGTTATAACAAAGTATTCAGTAGGAACTGCCGCTAAATACTTTGCTTTCAAGTACCTTAACTATTAACAAACATGTATCTTATTTGTGCACAGTGGTGGAATTATTGCCATAGGGACCCAGGCGGCCGCTATGAGGTCTGGGGAACAGGGGAGCCGGGCAGGACGAGGAACAAAGGGGTTCCCTGATGCCGTGCATGTCGCCTGGGTCGCTATGGCATCACAGGCTGCTGGCGGTCACTGGCGGCTGTGAGGAGGAATGCGCCGCTGTTCAGATCACTGACAACCTAGAGTCAGTGACAGCCAGCAGTGGTGGAGGAGGCGGGGCCCGGCAAAGGAGGAGGCGGGGCCCACCAGCGGCCGTGGAGGAGGAGGAAGAAGCGGGGCCCGCCCATGGAGGAGGAAGACAGCGGATCGGGGTTGACAGGTAAGAGGTGTGCAAGCATGTGACCAGCCTACCTGAGACCATGCAGAGCCCACCGTATAGAGCCTATGGTGGGCTCTGTAGGGTCACTCTCAGGTGGGCTCTTTGGGATCTCAGGGGGCTCTGCAAGGGGCCTAACTAGAAATCACAGGGCACCATACAACATTTTGCAATGGGGCCCTGTGATTTCAAGTTACGCCCCCGTTTGTGTATCACTCAGCTGTAGATCCTCAAATCATCTCTGAATTGGTGCCGACACTGACCTTCCTTCTGGAGGGTGGCTACTTTTGTTCCCCATGGTCCCTGTGTGTGTTGTAAAGTAGACAGCGCTCTGAGCTCACTCCCAGGATGGACTACAATCACAATACAAATGAATAAACTAAGCATGAGATCGTAGTCCATCATAGGAGCAAACTTGGAGCAGTGGCTACTACTAAAACACACACAAGGCCGAGGGAAAGAAAAGCAGCCACCCTCTAGAAGGAAGGACAGTGTCAGCATGAATTCAGAGATGATTTTAGGATCTACAGCTGAGTGATACACAAATAAGATACATTTCTGTTAGTAGTTAAGATACTTGAATGCATTTTTAAGATTTAACTACTGAATTTAGTATTACTGTAAAAAAAGTATTTAGCAGCAGTTCCTACTGAATACTTTATTATAATTTCAGTTAAAGGCACCAACAAGGAGTCATGGGAGGGAGAGGCAAGTATACTATTTCTTCTATTAGAGGGATTTGCACTGGGAATTTTTTAAAGGCCTAACCGAATAACTTTAACACAGGGGTAAGCACAGATAACCTTAGTAAACTCTCCAAAATAAAATCACTGCATAAAAAATAAAACTTTGTATTAAGGATCTTTCCAATTCTGCCCCCCTGCCTCCTTTAAAGGTCAACTCTGCTGGTGTAAATGTCATTCACTAGAAGGGGAAGTGTGCCACTGTGCAACCACTCTAAACAGGCAGAGGAGTGAGACATAAAAAAAAAAAGGGGCACTGAGGGATGCTGACAGTAGCGAATATCAGCAATACATATCTTGTAGAACTACAAGAAATAGACTAAATGATCAAAATGTAAAGAATAAGTGTCCATGATGCCCGCACTAAAAACAAGATTTTTTCATTTTCCTGATTTCAGTAGACTGCTAGTGTCTGATTGGTTGCTGTGGGCTGCCCAGATTGTTCTTTCATCCAGCTTCTTGTTTTTACAAAAAAAATGTCCATGGCAGCTTGTACCACTTTCTACAAATACAGCAAGTTCAAATAGTGTGAGCAGTGTTATTTATGAAAATTCCTTACATAAGAACTGATTGCAATGCCTACCAGCAGCCAAATTCAAACTTACATTCTCCAACTTTTTAGAGGGTGTTTGATTCTCTTTGGTTACTGTAGAGCAATGCAAACAGCCTTTTATGTGTAACACAATAACAAATGAGGCCCAGTGTTACTTCCACACAAATATCCTTGGTAATATAGCTGGCTGGATCATGCCATGTAAAGAAGAGAATGACATAAGAATTAAACATTTCATGTTTGCTGGTGTTACTATTAAATTCATTCTGATCAAAGAATGTGAACAAGCATGACAAATGATCACAATGGAAATAAATAAATGTTGGAACAGGTATAAATCCAAATTAAATATATCAAATTATATTCATGCTCTCTCATTTCAATAGAAAAAATATAGCAAGCATATGGAATTCACAACACAATGGCAGAAGCTGGAGGCATGTATAACCACAAATCTCCTTTTTTGCCATCTATCGCCTGTCCAGGAAAGGACACATATCCTTACATTGAGAGGTATCAAATGGTTGCTCCACTATTCAAACTGCAATCGCTCAAGATAAGGAATCCAATTAATTTCTATGGCACTTGTTCACACATGAGTCGCACAAATATTTCCATTGAAGTCTATGGGACCAAAAAGCTCTGTAATCTGCCAAAAAGTAGCTCATGTACTTTTTCCACTCATGTACTTTGTTCAGTGACAGACGTTTTTCTGCTGGTGTGAACAGCGACCGTAGAAATTAATGGCAATCCTGATCTTGAGCGTTTTGTTGTGCCTACCTTTCAGCAACAAAACACCTAGGTTTGAATGGGGACTTACTGAATGCTATGAGCACCACAATTCTTGCCTCACTTCACCTTGAAAATGATTTGCACTGATCTCTCCTATGTCCTGAGGGTTAATAGCCAAACATGCATATTAGGTAAAAGACAGATCAAAGCTGTGTAGCCATCTATTCCCTGATATCCATGTTTTCATGGCAGATTATGCAGGCAGATGTCCAGTTTCTGCAGGGGAGGTCTTTTCACTTTGGACACAATATGACATTAAGCAGACCAAACACAATATTTTTTTCTTCATTAAAGGAGAACTATGGGGTTAAGGCTTTTCCCCATAGTTCTCCTTAGGGTAACGGGAGGACACAAACTAGCGTCCTCCCGTCATTCTGGGCTCAGTATACTGCAAGCTGTAGCTCATGGTATACTGAGACGTCGCAGCTGAAGTGGATCCCGACAATTGTGCCCGGATCCGCCCAGCTGCGTGACTGACAGCTGGCTCTGCCTATCTAGAGGCAGAGCCAGCTGTACCCGCCCCCCCCCCCGTCCGTTCCGCCAGTCAGCGCTGGCGGATCGGAGCGGGGAGGGGGGAATCCAGCCCCTCCCCTGTCACGGCAGAGAGCCATGACAGGATCGAGAGGTGAGCGAGTTTTTCCCCATAGTTCTCCTAAGGGTCATGGGGGGACATAAACTAGCGTCCTCCCGTGACCCAAAGCTCAGTATATTGCTAGCTACAGCTTGTGGTATACTGAGACCGCCGCAGCCGGGACGGATCCCGACATTAATGTCGAGATCCACCCAGCTGCGTGATTGAAAGCTGGCTCTGCCTATCTAGTGGCAGAGCCAGCTGTGCCTGCCCCCCTCCAACCGTCCGTTCTGCCAGTCAGCGTTGGAGGATCGGAGCGGGGAATCCCTGCAGGGAGCTGTGAATGACAGTCACGGCTCTCTGCAGGGACATGATCGAGAAGTGAGTGAGCGACGGTATGTGTTCGCTCACTTCCCCATCTATTGAGCCGACGTGTGACATTTTCATTGTCACACGTCGGCTCGAACTATGAGGTTGAGTGAAAATCACTCACCTCATAGTACTCCTTTAACATATTAAGGTGTTGCACCGAAAATTCAAGTGTATCTCTATGCATAACCTAGTTTTTCAGATTTGAATAAAGTGAGGGAGGGTTAGACCCTCTTTAAAGCTTTATCGCTGTGTCTCCATTGGGTAGAATTACCCCCTTGTTTGTACTGGTGACCACTGCCATCTAGAAACAAAGTGAGGGGGATAGCAAAATTTTAGAGTTGTTACCTGGACAAGAAGTACGCGTAAATTGTTTAAGCGGGACAACTGTCTAAAAGGGGACTTCCAATTAGTTTGTGAGATTTCTTCTCACTTCCTTTTGCATCTCTGGAACAAGAAATGAATGGAAATTTCCCTAATAGTACACAGACAGCAAAATATAAATTGGTGGGGGTTTTAACCTTTCCCTACTCTATGCAAAACAAAGTGAAACATTTTGGCTGTACATACACTTTGGATCAAGCTAACTATCCACTTGGTATTTTTCCTTTGGAAGCTTTCTATTAGCTTCTGACTAAAAACAAGACTACGTGGAGCTTAACAGTGCACTGCAATCTGCCAATCATTTCCTGGTTACAGTCAACCAAATGGGTGAATTCATTTAAAAAAAAAAAAAAATGGCTTCTAACACTGTGTTGTATTTGATTTCTCTATAACTAAAGCCTGCCATACAGGGCTTGAATGTTGACCGATTCTGCTGAATTGGCTGAAATTTATGCCATGGATAGCCCTGTTGGCACCACCTGGCTCCACAAAAGTCCATTTCAAAATCAATGTGTGCCAAGGAGGAGTTATCAGATGCAGTGACACTTCGGGTATTCCAGGAGCTGCGGGTTTCGGCTGTCTGAATACAGTAGTGGCAGTACAGACTTCTTCATCCACACAGCTTAGCCCGTATGGTTGAAGAGAAATCTACATGTGCATGGCTTGCCTAAGGCTTTGACTCTAGCACTCTAGATCTATGGCCTCTCCCTTGCTATCCAATGCATAAGAATAAGTCATGTATTTTTGTAGCAGGGACTACATATTCAGTTT